GATGAAGACCATAACATCGGCGAACTTAACACATTCAACCCAGGGCGACGACACCACATCACAGATAAAAATTCCACCATGCTCGAAATACCAAATTTCGTTACTCCGTCAACCCAAACCTGAACATTCATAGTCCGATTGCCTTTCCTTCGTCGGAAATAAAATACTGGATCTCTGAATCATGCACTGAGTAAACCTCTTTGCAAGTCATTCACTGCTTTGACGCATAGACAAGCATCCTACCATTATGCAAACACGGTGCGATAACAACACATGAATCATCATAACAATCAATGCCAAACCTCAAAACCTTAGGTAATACTGATACCGAGCTAAAACGACAGAACGACCTTCCGTAAGGCGACGACAATAGACCAATCAAATATGCAGGGAGAAACATCCCGCACCACATCTGCAGTACCATTAAAATTTCTCGATTCCTAATTTATCACAAGCTCTTCACGTCGTATAAGACTGAATAGGAAGGGAGTGAAGGCATAAGCCTCAAAGGAATCGAATCACACGATGAGGAATCAAGAAGGGAAGTGCTCCTAACAGTCTTGTAGCCTCTCGAAGATAAGTACAGACGTCTCCGTACTGATCCGCAAGACTCTACTAGACTTGCTCATGACTCGTGAGACCTAAGTGAAGCTAGTGCTCTGATACCATATTGTCATGACCCAAAATCCATTAAAAGTCGTGATGCGCCGGACACCGCTGTCAGACAAGCCAAAAAGAAATACTTAACTTGTTTCTCATTTTAAATAATTTTTTTTGAAAATCACATTTCCTTTAATTAAATAGTAAAAGATGAAATTTACAAAATAAATAATAATATATTTTAACAATTTCAATACAGGATAACCTATAACCACCCCAAACCCCGGTGTCACAAGTGCATGAGCCTCAACTAGGAATGTAAAATAAAATACAACATCTGTCCGGAATATAAATTCGGACAGGAGAAATATAAATACTCTAAAGGAGACTCTACTGGCTGCGGACTCGTAACGTGGAATGCAAATCACCTAAATCCCCGCAATAACCGCACCTCTGCTCCCACAAGGCCTCTAGACATATATGCACCTGCAAAAAAATGTGCAACAAGTGTAGTATAAGTATGTAAATCAACGCGTACCCAGAAAGTATCCCGCCTAACCTCAAAAAAATAGTGACGAGGGGTCGACTTCGACCCTTACTATGGCCTATAAATAAAACGTCGATGATATAATTAAGCATGGATTGCATAGAACGGCTGTAAGCTCAATATCATAAAATAAGTAAACAATTCTTTTGTTCATAAGAAATTTCCAAATTTATTTTCGTCATTTAACATTTTTTGGAACTCGGGCCAATGAAAATAATATCAATTATTATCAATTTCAAAGATATATCATGCGCAAATCATGCCGAGGTCGTACGATCCGCTCCAACATAAATATTTAAATTGTGCACTGCCGAGGGTCGAACGGCGCAAACCATAGATGCATCTATTTAACCCGCGCGAGGCGTTCGGCCCGCTCCACAAAAGAGAAAATATAATTTAAAACAACCAAATTCAAGATTTATTAAGGCAACTATTCAAGAAATACAAATTCTCGTTTACGGTCAAGAAGAATGGAGTTTAACCTTTTAAAGTCCCTTTACCAAGTTTCGATATGATTTAAGCAATTTAGATTAACAAGTAGGATGCAAGTATCGGAAGTACGACATGATATGGGTCCTAGACTACCCAGGCATAAGCATATTAGTAGCTACGCATGGACTCTCATCACCTCGTGTGTACGTAGCACCCACAAATAGAAGCGCATATTGAATTATTTCACCTATGGGGTTAATTTCCTCTTACAAGGTTAGAAAGGAGACTTACCTCGCTCCGAAGTTCCATAGCTGGCTCCCAAGCCTTTCCAACAGCTCAAACCAATGCCCATCACTCCAAAACTAGTCAATAAAGGTGCAAATTCATAAATATATACTCTAATACTCATAATAATTCAATTTATAACAAATTTCCAACTCCGTTCGAAAAATAGATAAAGATACCCTAGGGCCCACGTGCTCGGATTTCGAAAGTTTTCAAAGATAACTATTACCCATGACCTCACGAACTCAAATATATAATTTATTTCCAATTCCATGCCCAAATTCGTGGTCGAAATCTAAAAATACACATTTCTAGGGTTTTCTTCAAAATCCCAAATTTCTACAAATTTTCATGCTTAAATCCATGTATAAATCTTGTATTTAACTCACAATACGCGAAAATCACTTACCTTGACATAGATGATGAAAATCCCTCCTTGAAGCTATCCAAAATCGCCCAACCAAGTGAAAAATGGGGGGAAAATGAACCAAGTCCCGTTCTTAAATTAATTTGCCAAACGATATTTTCGCACCTGCGGAACAGTAGCCGTACATGCGGCATCGCTTCTGTGACCACGTCTCCGCTTTTGCGGAACTCACCCCAAACACAAGGCCTCGCACCTGCGGAAAGACCCCCCGCTTCTGCGACATCGCAGGTGCGAGCTTCCTTCCGCTTCTGCGCCCCACGCTTCGCTTATGCGCTTGCGCAGATGCGGCCAAAACTCCGCACCTGCGGTCCTTCCCCTGGCTGACTTGCTCTACTTCTACGACCCCTGGGCCGCTTCTGCAGCCCGCACTTGTGGTCAAAACCTCGCAGGTTCGGTTACACCAGGTGACAACAGATTCAGCATTTCATAAGGCCAAATTCGATCCGTTAACCATCCGGAATCCACCCAAGGTCCCCAGGACCTTAACCAACTATACCAACGCGTCTTAAAATACATTACGAACTTAGTCGAGGCTTCAAATCATGCCAAACAATATCGAAACTACGAATCACCCTCCAATTCAAACCTAATGGACTTTGAAGCTTCAAACTTCTACCTTCGATGCTGAAACCTATCAAATCACGTCCGATTGATCTCAAATTTTGTACACAAGTCATAATTGACATTACAGGCCTGCTCCAACTTCCGGAATAGTAATCCGACCCTGATATCAAAAAGTCCACTCCCGGTCAAACTCTCCAAAACCTTCAAATTTCTAACGTTCGCCAAATGACCCCGAAATGACCTACAGACATCCAAATCCACTTCCGGACGCGTTTCCAATAACAGAATCACCATACGGAGCTATTCCCAGACTCAGAATCCCAAACAGCCATCGATAGCATTGAAATGCACTCCAACCCAAACTTATGAAATCCTTCCAAAATGCCAACTTCTACAATAGGCGCCGAAACGCTCTCGGGTCATCCAAAATCCGATCCGGACATACGCCCAAGTCCAAAATCATCATACGGACATGTTGGAACCTTCCAATCTCGATTCCGAGGTCGTTTACTCAAAAATCAAACCTTAGTCAATTCTTCCAACTTAAAGCTTCCGAAATTAGAATTTTCTTTCCAAATTAACTCCGAACTTTCCGAAATTCAATTCCGACCACGCGCACAAGTCATAATACCTGAAGTGAAGCTACTCAATGTCTTAAACCGCCGAACGACGCGCTGGAGCTCAAAAAAATCGGTCGGATTATTACACGCACAATTTGTGTACGGTCCGCACTTTGTTTCAAACATCATCTGAGCTTCAACATCAGGTCTGCGGTTCGTGCTTTCTTCTGAGGATGCAGTCTGCGGACCGTACTTTTGGATAGCTGCGCTCCTTCTTGCCTTATGAGGCGGAACACTCCTTTTTGAGTTAGATTTCTTCATTAAAGTTTAATTCTCCAACATTCCTGTAATTTGTACAATTTCATTAGTTTTGGGAACAAAAATCAACACTTTCGGACTAAAACTAAAGCAAGAAGGTATTAATAAGTGGTTAAAATCCACACTTATCACGCCGCGCGCGCAGACTCTGATGCTAAAGACAAGGTTCCTGCCAACGGACATGCTTCTGCCTTGTAGGAATCTAAGTCATTTCTATTGTAAATATAGAGTAGTTTTACTTCATGTATTTCTATTATGTCTCTCTATCTTAGTTATGCCAAGTTCTGTAACTTTGATTTATTTTTTTTAAGCATTATTAGAAGTTTCAAGCAAGCAAACAATTCTCTGTACTGATGTCTCTCTCCCTTGACACCGTGTTACTTTTCTGTAATAGCTTTCGTTAATGTAATCAAGCTTTCTTTCATTCTCATTCTCTTTTTTGTTCTCTCAATTGCTCTTGACATTGGTTTTTCCGTACGACAGTGACAATCTCGTCTAGCGTACGGAGAAAATCCCAGTTGACGAATAGTAACCGCACGGATATCAGTTGTTTAGCCTTACGTCGTCCTTCGTGAAATCTTAGGAAGCACCACCTAACAAAACGTATGATAGCATAAGAAACGTCTATTGGAGAACATTCACCTTTTTTTTCTTCGAAACTGAAGTGGAACCACACGAGCACATATTCCTATTTCGTTTTATATTTCTTTTCATTTATTTTGCCAATTCATTTTCTTTTGCTTATTTAGAAATGATTGTTTTACACATATCATATGATAAATATTTGAGTATATCAATCAATCAAATACGTCCTAAATCCAAAAAAAATGATTAATTGGTAATATAAAATTATAGATCTCCATTTTTCATCCCTTTTGATTCAAGCTGATTTCATTTTTTATGAAAAATATTATTTGAATACTCATTAAAAGAATTCAAATACTAGTAAATAACCTACTCTAATTTTAGCATTTCTCAAATTTTTTGAACATTTAATACAAGAGTAACTTAAGAAAGAAAAAAGAAGAAAAATATAGTAGTAGTTCTTTTCTTATTAAAGTTTTGGGTCACCTTTTTACAGAAACTTTTTTTCTTTTCTTATTTCATTCAGAAATCAGTACCCCCACGTCACAGCTTCCAGTCATTAAGTTGACTATTTAGCAAATCCATCCCGTTTCTTGTTTATTCAATTCAAGAAGTTGTCTTTCTTCCTCTGGATCCACTAATGGACCGTCGTATAATTCCACAGTTTATTGTACCATTTCAGTTGCTGCTAATAGTGGGTCTGTCTCTGGCTTCACCAAATGATCATCGCTACAACTTTGGAGATGAAGTCCCTCTTTCTGTCAACAAAATTGGTCCCTTGAATAATCCCAGGTATCCCTCCTTTTATTTATTTATTTTTCAATTCGGGGGTTTCTTTTTTGCTTAGTTTATAAAATTTGCTTTTGATTCCATGAGGATTGTTGTTAAAATTTTAATTCTTAAGACTTTCAAATGTTGTGCGGTTATTAAAAATGATGTTGCCATTAATCAGACTTGTTGCCAAAAACCTCTTCCCTTTACCTGAGGTAGATCCAGGATTTAGTGGGTGTTTGAATATCACTACACTCATTGCTGCTCTGTGATAGTGGCCACATACTTGGACAAACATAGGATTTTTTTTATGACTCTGGTGTCCTAGCTAGCTTGCAAGCACCTAGACTATTCCATCGTGCATCTGCTACCTCCCACAACACATTTAGCTGGTAATTCTACCTGCCAAGGCTTTGGCAGATAGGAGTGTGTGTTTGCGTGAGTGAGTGTGTGTTTGTGTGTGCATTGACCAAGCCACAGCCTCGGCACTATGTAACAATACCGAACTTCCTCACTATATTGATAAGAATTGGAATACTGGTTACAACCTTGAGATATCAATTGCAATACTCAAACTAATGAATTACAATGGAAACTATTGAAATAACAAGTAACTAAGGATAGAGATAAGAATGGGGATGAGAAGCAACTCAGACGAAGGGGTTGAGGGAATACAAATACTTCATAATATTTCGCATAATTCTCAAAACTGTCGATGAAACCCTTTTATCCATTTGTCACGTGCTTCCCTACTAATCCTGGATCCCAAGCAAATCTCTTGTTGGGCTGTCTAATTCCTTGGCCTTTTCGCAGTTTAGCCTTAGGCCCAACAGCTTGGCTAGCCTCCGTCCAAATAACTGGCCCATAAGCATTATGGGAGTTATCCATGTTCACAACACACTACATCCGCCTCTAGGACCCTCCCCTGTTCTGAAAACGTGTATGATGATGCAAGGATTTATAAAAATTATTGCTACGTGTCAAAAGTTTCAGGTTTTATAGAATTGAGAATGAGGGTGTAGAGAAGTTTAAGTTTTTTTTTTTTGAGTTACGCGAAGATCCATATTCTTAACAAATTGTTCCTCATTTTTGTGGCAAGTCATTTTTGACTTGCAAGCTTGATAATGTTTCAGAGAGAAAGAGATTGTGTTCATGGTACACATATTTTACAAGTCTTCAACACATGTTAGGAAATTTGACGCTTAATTTTCCTATAGTCTTACATTGTAAAGGGTGTTAGAATACCTGAAGTTTTTTACACTTTTAGACATGCGCTTGCTTCTTACATGGAGCCTTCCTTCTTCTGCCATGATGTTATGCTAGTTTTTGTAGAATACTTCTAAGTCGTCCTCGGGTCGTCTATCATTCTGGCTTCTTTCTTCCCTTTTTTTCTTCTTGTTTCTCCTTTTGAGTTCTTATCGAACAACTAGCCGTCAAAAGCCAAAAAGAACTATTAGATCTCTCAGCAAAATGTATCCTCCTTGGGAAGTCAATAATATTTTTCATTATTGCACTTCTTGATATCTTACAGGGATTTTCAAGGCCGTTATCATATATGCTAATAACTTCATTTGCTGCGTTAATGGAGCATTTAAGCTTCTTGAAGAACTTTCAGCATCTCCATTTTAAATGTCTTCAAATTTCAATATCCCCATTCTCTGGTCTTCTTTTAAGCATGAAATATTTCCCCTTAACTTTTTAAATCCAACACAAACCAACATAAAAGAATATTCTTCTTTCCTTTTTAGCTGGAAGTTCGCCAACTGTTCGTCTTTAGTAATATGTAGAGGGTCTTTCTCATTCTTGTGCTATGAAATTAGAATCATAAAAACAAGTGAAATGAGTCAAGGACCTTAATGTGAAATATCCAAGTTTTCTTACTTACTGAAAAAGTAAAACGTCTGAGTTTTCTTGATTCCCTATTACAGGAGATAATCCTAACATTCCTATATCTGTTATTCTTTTGCAGTGAAACGTACCAATACTATGACCTGCCATTCTGCCAGCCAGGTCAGCATTTTTGGGCTCGCACTTGAGATAGACCATCCCAACTAGTTTGTGATTGAGGCATAGTTGATTGGTCGTCTTACTAAGTGTCATTTATCATCCAAATAAAATCCTGTTTTCTTTTTCTTCTGCTGAGTTGTGTTGGACACATGCTATTAGAGGACCAATACTGACGAGGCAGAATACCGTGAAGTACGTAGAATACACTGTAGTATTACCATCTTCTGCTTCTTATCTGTTTACATAAATTCAAAATATTATTACTGATTAGACCAAAAGGAAAGCTAGGTCTGTGATAAGATGTTATTCATGGTACCCTTTTATATTTTTTTTGTTTAGTATCACTGGTAATCTGTGGAGTTAGTTATGTTAAAACTTTAACTATCTTATCTTCAAGAAGTCTGACCTTTTAGTTTTACTTGACAGGTGAGGTGCTTCCGAAAAAGGAATCCCTTGGGGAAGTTCTGAATGGTGACCGTTTAACCAATACCTTGTATCAGTTGAAATTTGGAGTAGACAAAGATGGGGTTGTCCTGTGTCACAAGAAGCTTAATCAAAATGATGTCTCAAAGTTCAGGGATGCTATTATTAAAGATTACTACTATCAGATGTACTTTGACGATCTCCCTTTCTGGGGATTTGTCGGGAAAATTGAAGATGAACACTGGACCTTGGACGGAAAGGGCCCCAAGTATTTTCTCTTTAAGCATGTCCAATTTGATGTCCTTCACAATGAAAACCAAGTTATAGAAATACATGCTTTCAGTGATCCAAGCCATGTTGTGGATATAACAGAAGATATAGACCAAAGTGTTACCTTCACGTATAGTGTACTCTGGAATGAAACCTCAACTCTATTCAAAAATAGAATGACAAGATACTCTAGGGCTTCGGGAAATCCAGTGAACCAACAAGTTCATTGGTTCTCGGTAGTTAATTCAATTGTTATTACTGTTTTGCTGATGGCCTTTTTTGCTGTGAGCATGGTGCATTGTCTTAAGAATGATCTGAGAAAGTAAGCACAAAAAGTGATCCATTATTTGCATGAATGCACCTGAAGCTGAAAGCACCGTCCTCATATTTGTATGATTGGTATGCAGATGGTCTAGTGGTGATGAAGAGGAAGACAAAGAAGTGGGTTGGAAGTACCTTCATGGTGACGTATTTAGATGTCCCTCAAACATGCCTCTGCTTTGTGCAGTTCTCGGTGCTGGTACCCAGCTGCTGACCTTGTAAGCTGTAATACTCATTTATTCATCAGATGATACATAAGTTCATTAAGTTCTCTATAGGGAACTGATAATAGTTGTTCATTTCATTTTGATATGACCAGTAAGCCAATCTTCTATTTCTTTTCCGACTTATCATTGAGAGAAGATCTCTGTGCATAAGTTTGGTCCAGTGATAGTTTTTTTGATACTGGTACCAATATATTAAGAAAAGAAAAGCACTAAGGCAGTGCAAAGCCATATGTACAAGGGGGAAGATCAAATCTGATCCACCAGACTTACAAAAAACCTAACATGTCAACCAGGGACTCTGTATTCTCCACATGCCTTTCTTTACACCAAAAATAAAACAGAAGAATACAATTCATCTTAACATTCTGAAGAGTATTGTATCTGTCTTCAAAAACTCTTGAGTTCCTCTCTATCCACACTGTCCACCATACACAAGCAGGTATCACTCTCCACCATGTCTTCTGACTGACTACACCTCCCATGTTATTCCAGGATTTTAGAAGCTCCAGAGTAGTTGCAGGCATTGTCCATCTGAGGCCCACAATGTTAAGGAACAATTGCCACAATTGACTAGTGATAGGACAATGCAGAAACAGATGACTGTTGGTCTCCAGATCTCTGCCACATAACAAACATCTCGAGCATAACAGAAATCCCCTTCTTTGTAGGTTGTCTTGGGTTAAACAGGCTTCTCTTGCTACCAGCCATGTGAAACAAACCACCTTAAAGGGAGCTTTTGCTTTCCATATGTTCTTCCATGGCCATCCCACTGTATGCTGATCTGCATTTGTAAGCATGAAATAGGCAGATTTGACAGTGGTCCAGTGATAGTTAACTCAAGATGTTGTATCCCTAGGCTCTATTTTGCGACGTGTCTTCTGAATAAAGTACATTTATGGAGGTATAGTTCTAGGAGTTACCTCCCCATCATCTCTTAGTCACACACATTTGTATTGACAACTGACCCGAGCTGCTAATGGAACAATAGTGATGGTGATGCGGGTAAAGCCTCCTGAATGTCTGTCTTCCCTTGTTTTAGACTGGTTGCTGGGGACTTGCCTCGTCTTCAAATTGAAGAAAATTTTCTGCGTTGTGAACTTGGACCTTCGGGCAAAAATGAAAAAGGAAAGAAGAATCTAAAGTGAGAATCTGGCGAATCAAGAGGTCAAACTGCGACGCTCAAGCCAGTTAGTTACTAACTTGAATTTTACATCTCGGCCAAATAGTTATTTTATCTTGCCTCTTGCTGTCCGTCCTTACCATCTTATAGAACCCACATCCCCATTGCTCTTTTATTTTGAGCCTTACCCATCTTTCGATTTCTCAACTAATCCCATTAATAGAATATACGGGGAGGCCCTGGCAGGCGAGGTCTATTTTGTCCAGCTTCCAAGAGCGATCTTTCACTTTCCAAGACAAACTCTTACATTGCGTTCGCGATTCATATTTGGTAACAATGTTACCCCACCAAATGTTACATAGTATCATCATCATTTATCTTTTCTGCATTGTTCTGGTAAAGTTAAAAATACAATGGAAAGATAGCTTTGAGAATTTTTTTTAACCTTGGCAATAAGAGCTTTGATATGGAAAAGGTCCTGCGTATTCTCTAAAAAATTGGTAGGGTTTCCATCATCTGCAAAAATTCTTCCATGTAAGGGTGGTGTTTACTGGATGATCATATTTGACCTATTTATTTTACTTAATTGATCATCCAAGGTTGAAGGTACATCTTTGCCTTTAGCTAATGGTTTCTGCTGCACTTACAGGTTCTGCTTCTTATTTGTTTTGGCATTTCTTGGTGTGCTATATCCATATAACCGTGGAACTCTCCTCACATCATTGGCCATAATTTATACCCTTACATCTGCAGTTGCCGGCTACAGCTCTGCCTCTTTCTACAGTCAATTTGCTGAAACAGGATGGGTAACTTTTATCAATTTCCTTCCAACTTTTTGTTTCTGTATTTTTGTTAATCCAGGAACTGAATTTTTTTCTCTTCGTCACTAGGAAAGGAGCGTTACTTTCTCTGCCGTGCTCTTTCTTGGACCATTCCTCTTAACGGAGTTTTTCCTTAATTTAGTTGCTGCATCATTTGGGGCTACTTTAGCAATTCCATTTGGCACTGTATTTGTCATTGTTCTTGTGTATACCCTCATTGCTATGCCACTGCTTGCTCTTGGTGGGGTAATTGGTTATCGGTGTAGGTCTGAGTTTCAAGCACCTTCTGCCACAAAAAAGTGTGCAAGACAGATACCATCACTAGCTTGGTACAGGAAGACACCTGGTCAAATGTTTCTGGCTGGTCTTCTACCGTTCAGCGCCATTGTTGTTGAGTTACACCAGTTGTATGCAACCCTTTGGGGCTACAAAATTTCGACTCTTCCTGGTATTCTATTTTTTATGTTTATAATCCTCATACTGCTCACTGTGATCTTAAGCATCGGTTTGACATACATTCAGCTGACAGTGGAAGACCATGAATGGTGGTGGCGGTATGTATCAATTTGGATATTTCATTGAACTAGTCATACCTGAGGACTGCATGCATACACATCTTGTCCATCTTTATATCTTTGTTCTTTTCATTCTTTGGGTGCTAATTGATGGAGCTTTGATTAAATTCGTTTTAACTTTTATGGGATTAAAAACTATAGTTTCTCGTTAACATAGTTTTACTTCGATATTTCAAAATTTCAAGGCAGAATGCTAATATGCAGATCGTATTTCTACTATCTGGAACTTAGTAACCAGTACTAACCACAGTCCGCAGTGGAGGCTATCGGCAAATTTCTTCAAACGTTGAATGATTTCTTATTTGCTTCAATGCAGTAACTACTTTGTTGTGTCTTATGACATTATTGAGTGATTCATGGAATCAATGATGCTGTGAGTATATTGTGTTACTCAAATGGATGACAACTGAGTATTATTGAACAGTAGTTGAACCCTCATATGTGCTGGATCAATATATATGTTGAGCGAGATGTAAACCTGGAGTCAAAAGTTTAATGTGTTCCAAAAAAATGAAAGGTTTTCAAACAATTATTAGCGGATATCTAAGAAATTACTGTTAAGTAACTATTTTACTCAGTTGCGCTTGCTCTTCTTATTTGCTAGCTCATTTACAACATCTATGGCTGCCTCCATAGACTGATAACTATGTTGTTTGATGCAGGTCTATTTTCCGTGGGGGCTCAACAGCTGTATTTATGTTTGCCTACTCGGTATACTTCTACTGCAAATCAAACATGAGCGGGGTCTTGCAAACTACCATCTTCTTTGTATATAACACTTGCATATGCTATGCATTTTTCCTTATGCTTGGAACAATCAGTCTCCATGCTTCCTTGATGTTTATTCGTCACATCTACCATGCTGTAAAGAGTGAATGAGAATCCGTCCTCAATCTCTTTGAATTGCTATCATTTGAAGCTCTCTTCCGTGATTTGACAAGTTAAACAAGAAAGGGTCTCCATCGTCGAGCTTGTATCATTTCAATACCTCTTCGGTGGTTTGAGAAGCTTAACAAAATGAGGAAGGTTTCATCTTTGTTTCGACAAATGAGCATTAGGAGCTATGTTAATCAAGTATCCTGCAATTTCATAACATCAAGACTAGCAGAAGTTGATGGCAAATTGAGAAGTATTCAGCGTTCTTGTATGAGTAGGAAATGTGATTGGATGTTGGATATGAACGGCGTTTCTCTGCAAAGTAAAGTTTCGAAGCTATGTAATTCCAATTATTTTATTTCCCTATGCGTTAGATAATATGGTTCTTATATTTTGTTTTTTTAATCTTCGACAAGGCTTTGACTAACCTTTGATTTATAGACATTGAGAATATTGCTATCAGAAGAGTGAAGGCTAAAATTCCATATCCTAGAGCAGTTCTTAAACAATAATGCAGATTTAGTACTACACTAGTTTTCTTCTTACTGCATTTGTTCCTATTAAGTTCAAATCTGTTTCAGTGAAAAGTTGTTTTGCAATTGATGGACCATCTATTTATCAACAGTGAGAATATGTCAATTCTGCACATTTTAACTGCTTAAGCCTTCAGGTTTCCCATTCTGTTTTTCATATGATCTCTTCTCCAACCCAAAGATGGAGTATTTTGCTCAACCACAAGTTCTTTCCATGAAATAAGTGAAAATAACAACAGAAGCTGAATCCCCTACTTTCCCCCACTCCAACCCCCACTTTCCTAACACACAAAAATGATGCAATCATAAAAGGTATAAAATCCTTGGCGAGCTTTAGGAAGTGTCAAAAAGCAGAAACCCTTAAAACGTGCATTAAAATTTACCTACCATTTTCTTCACGAGTAACAAAGACTCTCCCCATTAGAACATGCACCGGTTACTGTCTTCAATTTTGAAGCATGGCAAACTGCTTTGAAGGTAAGTGGAGATAAGTCTGTTAGTTGAAATTCAATGCTATATCAAGAACTTAAGATCTTCATCATTGGTGAGTGGAGACTTAAGGGGAGATTATGTCGTCAAACGGGAGAAGATGACGGTGCAAGAAGATTGTTCATTAGCATGATGGAGTGACAAACTGAAGAGGCGTTGGAAGGAACAGGAGGGTTTTCTCACCGTTGTGGACGGATTATTCTTCCCTTGATGAATTACTAGCTCTTCAGGCTTTGATTTCCCAAATGTTCACACTCCAAAGTTTAAGACTTGGAATCAAGAGCAGGTAGTATTATAAAACAAGAACAAAGCAGATATAAGGACTCCAAACAAATAAAGTCGAACTGTAAGCTTGAACCAAGGAGTGAAAGTGGAGTTCATTGCTTAGCCAAGACCTCAGTGGGGGCCGAAAGAAGTAATGCTCTTTTCATGTAATGCTGCAGAGTTCAAATGAAAAGTGATCCCTAAGCAGGCTAGATTTCTGTTCGTCAAATTTTCTCTTAACTATGACACAAGGAGCAAATTCATCCATTTATGGATTACTGTACAGTCTTAATTAGTATGAAAAAAGGAAGGTAGGTACCAACTTTAACAATTTCCTCCAAGCCACAATAAATATCTAAATGAATCAGTCTTCTTTCTTAATGCATTGAAGCATTCTGGCGATACAAGATAATTGCAAGGATACAGAACAACACGAAGGCTGCTCTTTGTTTTACCATGGAAATTGTAAGTAACATTTTTCACTTGAAATTTCCTCCAAAGATCAGCAGATATATAAAAAAAAATCAGCCATGACAAGCATGATCAGTAAGAATAATTATTGAAAGATAATTGAAATGTTCGTCTTTGACACAAATGAGCATTCAATAGAGCAAATTTATTCAGACGGCCACTGTCCCAATACTGAAATATCCTCATAACGCTTCTGTATTTCAACAACAAAAACTTGAGTTACAAAATTGACACAAGCCCAGCAAGAACAAAATGAAAAGAACACTAGGAGCAAGAGGCATGGCCTGGGAACCAAACAAATACTAGAATGAACAAAAAGTTAATCATGCTTTGCAATGCGAGTTCGAAATTTAAAATGGAATAGGAGTATTTAAATTCTCAATACCATCATAGGCCAGCCTCTTCTAAATAGTCTAACCAGGAAACTTGTTAAGACTATGATAAAGGACGTAACGAAGAGAAATCTATTTTAACTAAGACTGGTGGTGAAGCATACATTATGCAGCTCAAAATTTACATTTTCTTTTTGTTGTTGTTGTTTATTTTGAGGTTCTTTTATACTTGGTTAGAGCCAAGGTTGTTTAGCTCTTTTGGCGTCAAGGTTGTTGCTTAAATTACTTCCATAATATTAGTTAAAAGTTACATATGACGAGGCGTCATTGAAGCCTAAAGCAATTACTGAGTGATAACAGATGATCCCCTTTTTCTTTTCAGTTCTACGTATTAATTCTCAAGCAAATCAGACATTCAACAAGTCAGAACATTATGTTTTGCCTACTTAGAAAAATCATTCTCCTCCTATTAACTCCGTGTATCAGAGCTTTGCAAAGTATAAACCATCTCAAAACCGGACAGTGGTAAGTTGACGGTGTAAAAAGTCTAGCTATGAGTTGCATCTGGTGATGTCAGAGAGTCCTTTTACTCTGGTTAGAGACGTGTATGCCAGTGTAGGGATAAGTATGAGATTTAGAGAATCTCTAGTTTTAGAGAACTCTTAATTTTCCTTGAAAGATAATTAGAATTGGAATGAGATGGACTAGAATAGAACGTAGCTGATAAACACGATTCATATAGCCATCCACAATTAATTTGGAACTAAGGTATAGTTGATTGATTGATCTATTGATTTTCCTCCTATTTTCTTCCCACTGGAATGCTTTCTAGCTAAAACTTCAGCATAAATGTCCAGAATTTGATTTCTTCAAGACTTTTGCTTAAATTGGTATTGAAGACCATAGATGAAGTCAAATACCAACTCTTCTTCACGAGGAGGAGAGCAAAGAAAATTTCAGCACCAGTAATGACATAGTAGAAAATAGAAACAGTTGAAAGATGGGATGCAAAAGAAGGGGGAATTTGCAAGTGAAGGGCCAGAACATAGAAGAAGAGGAGGAGCTGACAGCAGCTAGAAGAAGGCGAATTGGAAAAACCGGAGAAGAGGGAAAAAGATTCCGACAAAAGAGAAAAGATAACAGAATCAGATTTTGAAACACAAAAGGGTGGGAATGGAGAAACGAGATAGATAAAGTAGGACAACGTTCCTCAAATTCAGTTTAAGGAATAAAAGCATGTAGACCCATATACATTGCAAGCAAAGTCGCAATTTTAGTCTCTTAATTAGCATGTCAAGGACAATGTTCACCGTCTTTAACCAATAAAGTTGAAAGTGAAAGCTAAAAGAGTTTCAAGTACAACCTATATTATATGATGATACTTGTCAGTAATTAGCTAAAACAAAGCTGGTGATAGGCGAAGTCAATAATTTTTTACATTTAATTGAAAACACCCTGTCCTTGAGAGTTAAAAAAAAAAACAATTCCCTACACATCCCTTCTAAATTAGAACCCTGATAAACTATCCCAATTGCATAACCCATTTTAGACAGCATTCTAAAGTATCAATAGCACAACAAACTCTTGAAACTTTAAATGAAAACAAGAAAAAAGAATTATAAGATTGATGAAAGAATATAAAAATAGCATTTTTCATAAAAAGCTCCTAGGAGGAATTGAAAAGGAAACAAAATAACATACCCCAACATTATTGTGCTCCCAGACCTTATGAACCCCATAATCCACTGCCTGCAATTAATAAAAATGAAATCAAACTCTGACACATCTGATAAAAATTTGCATCACATGAATCAGATCCAATCTTAAACATACCAAAATAACACAAATAATAGAAATACACATATGAAAAATACAGCTATATGTATATATGTATAAAAGGAAGAAGACGGACCCGTTCACCAAGGAAAGCGCCAGCGATGACGAAGGTGACATAAACAGAGTTGCGGCGCATAAGCACTCTGTAAAGCCCTTCAAATAGGCCGCCTCTGCTTCTTCTGGCTGCTGTCTCCATTGCTGTCTCAGGGGATTTCAAGCTCTGCTCCTTCGGAAGAGAAATCGGAACGTAGAGAAATGCGATGATTGCTTATAGTTTATTCTAATAATAAAAATATATTCTAAAATACTACTATCCATTAGACCGGTTCAACTTTGGCAACCCTTTATTTTGTTTTTTGGAGAATTTTTTGAATAATTTTTCGAGGTACAAAACATGTAAGTTTTGTTTTAAAGAAGTTTTCACAAAATAAAAATTAAAAAATAACAACTAAAAGTAAGAAAGGTGCCTAAAAGTATTTTTTGCATTTGTTTTAATTCAAGCTTTGTACGATTACGATTATTGTACGGAATCTCATACGAAAATAATGAAAAGTGAAGAGAAGATAATCGGTATGATCGTACAATGTGTTTCAATATACAATCACAATTACGTAATCAAAGCAAATCACTCATTTTTTTTATTTATCCACATAAGATAAGCATAATTAACCAGATTCGAACCTTTTTAAAAAAATATCCAAGCATATTTTGCAAACTTTTATTGCAAAAGTTTGACCAAACCGCCACGGCCGACGTCGTGCCATGATCACGTCTTCTACACATGAGATTGGTTCTATTTTGGATTGATGTTTCTATTTGAGCATGATTTTGAATTGATCTAACAAAAAATTCCTCTCCAAATTAGGAGCAATATATAGAGATTACATTACCTACATTAATCTTGGACAATGTCTCTTGTTAAGTTCATGTGCTTATGTCATGTGCAATGTAGCTCGGTTATGAACACATGGAGAAAATAATAATTAAGAGATAAAGTGTATAGAACAGTTGATTCTAAAAATAAGAGTTAAGCGTCAAAATTATAACAATCTTTTCATGTTAAATTTTTTATCATTTCGTGTTATTATAAAAATAATAAAGCAAATATGTTTTGCTTCCCATTAGTCCTATCTAATGTTCAGAAAAACTAGAAAATTGCAACCAAACTAGAAACTAGAAGAATTGAAACGAACAAAATGGGCCATACATTAATGGGCCAGCTGAGATAGCCCACTTTTTGTACCATTTCGCTCGACCCCGGTCCACTTGCAGCCCTTTAAGTAGATAGCAATCCACCGAAGCAAACCCTAATCGAGGGTTTTCTCTTACAGGTAACGTACTATCTTCTCATCCACCTCTCTCATATACACAGATGCATCATTTCTAGGGTTTTGAATTTGGATCTAGTGATTAAGGATATTAAGCATTTGTTTAACTTTATCTTAGCTGCTGATAAAGTTGAAAATTTTATGTTTTGTGATTTTTTATTGACAGTGAAGCTTGAAGGAGAAGATTTTTGAGCCATGAGGTTTGAATGAAGCTCCAAACTTCTCTCTGCTGTTCTCAATATGTTATATTTTTTTCTGAATATGTTATCAAAGTCCATTTTTGTTCTAATAATTTATTTTTTAAAGAAATTGATTTAAGCTTTCCTAGAGTGCATTTTGGTAAACAACCTAGTTTCAGATCGACAATTTGACATTATTGCCTTTATAATTAAACTCTGAGACAGATATTTTTCTGAATTTGTCAATATTTGCTTATTTAGGTCTTCATTGAAAGGGGAAGTTCCTACTTCTTTTTGGATTTGGAGGTTGCTTGATATGTATAAAGGAAAAAAAATAATGATATCTATTTTGATTCTTTTACAAAAATCTTTCGTTATTTGGAGAATCATAGGTTATTTGATGGTGAAGATTACATGAAAATGTTAATTGAAAGAGTTTGGCAAAATTTGTTTGTCTAGCAATATGTTTGTCAAGAACATTGCAAACTTGACATCTTATAGTTTTTATGGTATTGTTGGATACATGTCTTTATCTTTGATACTATTCCTTTACAGTAAGCTTCAGAGTGATGCCCTTAGAGAAGCCATCTCTGTGATTAAGAATGATTGTGCGGAGAAGAAAAGAAAATTCACTGAAACTATTGAGCTCCAGATCGGGCTGAAGAACTATGACCCCCAAAAGGACAAACGTTTCAGTGGGTCCGTTAAGTTGCCCCACATTCCTCGCCCTAAAATGAAGATTTGTATGCTTGGAGATGCTCAGCATGTTGAGGAGGTAATCCTACTGTACTTTTAAATTAGTGTCAATTACTACACGGACAATTTCAAACAATATTTGCAGAAAGGCTAACAGTTGCAAATACTGCTGATGAAAAGCTTTTACTGATTGAATAACTACTGCTTGTGTGATTTAGCTTAATAATGAGATGATTTGATTTGTCATTAAATAAGCTTCTAATATGTTTACGTTTGTTTGCTCACCTATGATTACATATGCCTTTCTGTGCTTTCTCTGAGATTGTGTTGTGTTCGCTAGCTGCGTTTGTCTGCACTTATCCTGTTTCTTTGGTGTAGTTTTACATAAATCCTGGATAGTTGTAGCTTTTTCCATTACTAGTATCTTGGAAATGCAATTAGTTTTAGAAGTTAGGTGCATCCTAGCTTAAAAGAATCTATTGTTCAATGACCGTTTTTCTTCCATTTGGTGGACCTCCTTGGTGAATTAGCTTGTTAATGTGGTTATCATAGTTTAGAGAGGAAATCCATCAGAAGTCTTTTTTCTTGATTCATGGGACGTGGCTCTTTAATGTCTACCATTTAGCCTTTGTTATTGATGTTGTCTTCTCTCTTGGAAATTTTGTGGCTACTGCAGATTGCCCAAAAATTACATGTGTTGTAATCTTTCCTGAATCTTCATTTTGTTTTTGAAAAGATGATTAACACTTGGTACCATATGTCTGCAGGCAGAAAAGATAGGTTTGGAGTACATGGATGTGGAAAGCTTGAAAAAGCTTAACAAAAATAAGAAATTGGTTAAGAAGCTTGCAAAGAAATACCATGCTTTCTTGGCTTCAGAGTCTGTCATCAAGCAGATTCCTCGTTTGTTGGGGCCCGGCCTGAACAAGGCGGGTAAGTTAATAGATTCTCTTAATGCTTTGAATGTATGTATTGCTAGTTCAGGGATGCTGCTTTTCTCATCCAGGATAACTTGCATCTCTTAGTTACTGTCAGGACTATTCAATGTCCTTGTGGCTGCTTATTTCAGACTATATACTCACCTTTAAGCTCATGTTCAATTGGCTCTGTTCATTGTAAATGCAGGTAAGTTTCCGAGTCTTGTTTCACACCAGGAGTCACTTGAATCCAAGGTTAATGAGACCAAAGCTACTATCAAGTTTCAATTGAAAAAGGTGCTTTGCATGGGTGTTGCTGTTGGAAACTTGGATATGGAGGAGAAACAGATCTTCCAGAATGTGCAAATGAGTGTCAATTTTCTAGTGTCGTTGCTGAAAAAGAATTGGCAAAATGTGAGTTCATTTGGCATCCTAGTTTAGCCATCGCCATATAGATTTGCTATGTTCTTGTTGACTGAATGCGTTGTCTTTTTTAGTTCCATTCCTTCTTAAATTCAGATCTAATCTGGTATAATTGGTTGTCAATGCAGGTAAGGTGCCTGTACTTGAAGAGCACCATGGGAAAGCCACAGCGCGTCTTTTAAGGAGATTTTTGTTTCGCTGTTGGAAGTTTTCAGCATTTTGGGTTTGTGAGCGATAGATACTCTTGAAATTTTTGGGTAGTAGTTCTGGTTCTATTTGAATACTATAACATTGTTCGGGATTGTTTTGCTTCAACTTTGTCTTCTTTAAAGATGTTAGCAGTGATTGCAATAGCATTCAAGGTGCCAATTTCTTCTCTAAATTTCTTATTTATCATTTCAGCCGATGTGTTTGCATATTTACGTGTAGGCTCAAAGTAAAAAAATGAACGGAGTATCAGTGCTTTACAGTACTATATACGTTTTGCATCTAAATAAACAGTGGACAAAAGACGTTTAGGAGAGCAAGCGTAAACGGCCATTTACAAGAAGTGCATTAGGAATTGCTACGACCGCCAAACCTATCTCACCCTTGTTTGTTTCTCACTTTCTCTTATTGACTTGAAGTTGTCAGTTGTAAAAATGTTTGAAGATTTACTTGGATAGTGGAAGTGGATTATAAATTATCCAAAAATAGTAATCGATGGAAACTTTGAAGATACATTAGTTGGTGTTTTCTCAAATTGAACAAGAATACCTGTCAAACACTCTTTAGAAAATTAAATTTACTGTAGAATTTAATTATCCAGTCTGTAAATAAGTTACTTAACTTAGATGGTGTTTGAGATTGCGCCTTTTTGGGACCTTAACTGAGGGTGGTGTTTGAGTGTGCACCTTTGGGAGCAGCTCTGTACATAATACTCCCTTAAAACTTTTAAACTTGTGGTATAAAATGAGGTACATACATTTATATTTTGTGTGACTTTAAATTATTGCATAAAGGTAAATTCTTTTCAAATATGAAAAGATGTCATTTTTTTTGGCACAGACTAAATAAGTTCGCATAAATTGAAACGGAGGGCATAAATTGAAACGGAGGGAGTATTGTTAGATCCATCTTTCTAAAAGCGGACTAACAAGTACGGCTTTGAAAACAGACTTGCATTCTCTTAAAAAAGTTTTATAAAAAAGATGTTAAAAGTTGTCCCAAAAATAAAAAATCAACGGAAATTGTCCAAGCACCATATCAAACTTACTAAAAATTTAAAGCTTCCACAAAGGTGCACGCACAATTGCAGCCGGTACTCCCTTCCCCTGCCCCAACAATGTAGTTCTAGTTTCAGTGCCCCTAAAGTTAGCCTCTAACTTCACTGTACCTGTTATATAGGTACAATTTCCCCCCAACTATTATGTTATTTATGTAGCTACATACATAAAAAACACTTGCAAAAAAGGACTAATCTTTTCGTGAACGGTAAGATTTTGAAGCCAAACGAGCAGTAATATTTTTAAAAAGTTGCAGCCACAACAGTAGTATCCCACTTCAATTTCTTTTGAATAAGCTTATCTTTTTCGGAATTTTGGAATCCATTTATTCAAAATTAACATATTGAAGATATTAATACAAGAATTGTTAGGTGAGAGCAATATAATAAGACTGATAATTCTTTGGTAGATATCTTAAAATATTTTTAAGAAACCTACTTAAACATTGAAGGAGAAAAGCACCAGATATGATGATTTTTTTAGATAGATAAATTTGGGGATCTTTACCCAAATAGCAAAACCAAAATTTCGTGGGCCATTCAAAACTTTCATTTCGGTTCTGGTGGACAAATGGAATTTAAGAAATTAGGCACTTTGAGGGAAAGGAGTACAAAAAAAGTAGCAAGGGCAAATAAGTAACAACGTCCGTTGTAATTCGAATATAGTGGGAAAGAGAAACCCATGGGCGGTAGGTTTATTAGGGTATCATATTACTAGTGTAACACACACACACACACACACACACAGCTCTCTTTGGAGTCTTCTTGTTCCTCTCCTCGATAACTCCGCTTAATCCTCAAACTGTAAGGTTTTCTTTAACTTTAAGCACTGTTCCTTGTCCAAATTTTAAAAAAAAAAGCTCTTTCTTTTTAAAATATAAACTAATGGGTTTTGGTTCTGGGCTTGTGTGGTTCCTGTGATAAATGTTTCGTGTTATACTTTGCATATGGATTCTGATAATTGGGTTTGTCTTGTTCTGGTTTTGATTGTTGAAATTGTCAATTTTCCTTTACATTTCCTGGTGAATTCTTTTGGTATATGATATTATGATTAAAGGTTGGATCTTGAGTGCTAACTGGATTTTGGATTTTGGGTGGTTTCAAACTTTTCGTAATTCTTTCGATTCTAAATTCAGTTTGATGCCTTTTTTGTTGATAAGCTTGATTTCATGTTTAAACAACATAACATGGAATTGTAACTCTTTTTTTTTTTTTTTCCTTTTCATATTGTGTGTCAGCTGCATCTGTGTCTTCTTCTCCATTCACAGCCATTGGCCCTCAAATGTTATTAAGGGTGAACTTTACATTTATTAGAAAAGCTGCATATATCTTAATGTAAACTTAGTTTATGATATGGAGCTTCGAGTGAAGAGCAGAAAGCCACTCGCTTGCTTCTTCTCATAATGCTCCAAACATTTAAATTCCTTGTTATCATGAAATGGACAATCAGATATCCATTTCTTTCATTTTAGCACAGGGTATACATTTTTTAATGTCAAATTGGTTCTCTAATTTGTTGGCTTGCAGATAGCAGGTCTGTGTCAATCTATAAAGTTGTTAGTTAATAATTAAGTCTTCATATCATATTTTACCATTATGTTTAACAAAACAGAAACAGTTTGTTTGGATGGTTGTTATGTATTGTTTCATAATGTATCGTATAGTATTGTATTGTATCGTTTTGATGTAAACAATGTTTGGATAGATTGTATTGTTTTCCGTCGTTTCATGATGTCATGCACTAACAATATAAAAAATAAATTTACAATATTATAAAGAAAAAGTAAGGTACAGGGTAAAATTATTATATAAACAGATAGGATAAAAAATAAAATAGGATTATTTAATAATATGGAAGGACAAGATTCGAGAAAAAAAATAAGGGAACGACGCGATCACAACAAATCGGTCGTCCATACACCTTGTTCCAATAATCTCGCAGTGTACCAAGCCCTCATACTTGACTTGAGATGGTTGTAGATTTGAAAGAGTTGCAACTCTTATGGAGATTTTTAATTGGTGATCAATCAACTCCTTCCTTGAAAGCTTCAGTTTTTCAGTTTACGATACGATACAATAAAATTTAAGTAACAATCAAAACAAACATTATATTTTAAGTAACAATACGATACAATACAGTAGGTAACAACCATCCAAACAAGCTGCTAGTTTTCCACTTTTCCCTGATATGCAACATGAATTGGTGAAGGTAAAAATTCAAGTTTCATTTGTCTTATCTTGAATTTGGATTCAATAGTTAAATACTTTGATTTAAACAGCGCACATTCTGCAGAGCACATTGATGGATTTTGAGCATCAACAAGACATTATTTCTTGAACATTAGCACTTCTATCAATTCAATAATCTGTGTTCTGAGTAATCAAACTGCTATCTTTTGTATCAGGTAAACATGTCAACTGTCAGACTTCCTGCCACCTGTATGGTAAAAATTGCTCCTCAGACCCAAAGAAAGAGCGTCTTTATTAAGAGCCCATCGTCTCTAGGGTCTGCGAGGAGCTTTTCTAAAGCCTTTGGATTGAAAGCTAGCTGTGGGTTTAGAGCATCAGCATCAGCAGTCTACAAGGTCAAGTTGGTTTGTCCAGATGGTGTAGAGCATGAATTCGAGGCACCTTCGGATACTTACATCCTCGATGCAGCTGAGAATGCTGGAGTCGAACTCCCTTATTCGTGCAGGGCAGGTGCTTGCTCGACATGCGCCGGGAAGATTGTATCGGGATCTGTTGATCAATCTGATGGATCTTTTCTGGATGATAATCAAATGGAGGAAGGCTATTTGCTCACCTGTGTTTCTTATCCAACGTCAGATTGTGTGATTCATACTCACAAGGAATCTGATCTTTACTAGTTATGCTATCTCAAATTATGTCTACGGTCTTGTTTAAGGTGAAACAGTTGGAAAATTGCTCTGTTCTTGAGAATGGTCAACTGTAGAGTTCAATCAGGAACATATTGTGTTTAAATGATGTTTTTGTGATGAAACCTTGTTTTAGCTCTTATTGGTCATATATGTTTCACTTTGCTTAACAATCTATCAGGTGTAGACGTGTAGTGTTCAATCAGACCAAGGGTCCTCTATGAACCAAAGGATCATCAGAAATTGAAACAAGCAGCAAGAGATTTGAAATCAAGAACTTCATACACAAGCTCCAAATATTCATGCATTTCTTAATATGTTTCAAGCATTCGATAATCAAGAAAGAAGGCAAATCAATAATCTAAAACGTTCTCAGTAATACTTGTTCGTGTTATTTGAGCCAACACAGTTTCTCATGGCAACTGGGGGTGGCGTTCGGTATTTTGGTACAGTATTTATGAATTACGGTTCGGTACTTCGGTATATCAATTATGCATATCAAATACCTCATACCAAATACCGTATCAAAGTAGTTCGATCATACCAAATACCGTATCAAAGTAGTTCGGTACGATTCAATATTTTCTTGTTTGGTTCGGTACGATTTCAGTATCGCACCATCCCTATCTAACGTGACAAGCCGTGGCACTGAAGGAGTGGCAATTTGCATATTATGTCTTCCATTAAGCAGAAAGAAGAGTCAAAAGGAAACCAATATGCTCATCATTTTCCATAATTTTCTCCACACTGCTTGGCTCCTAGAAGAATATCAAAACTGTGCCATGAATGAAGAATACACAAAATAAAATATCAGGGGATTAGCAGGTTCTCTATTTTTTAGCACATGAATTTGAGTCATAACCAAGCAAGCAATAAACAAAAAGATTATAATTCATCATCAGGATGTTTGATTTCAAGGATAAGATAATGAAAAATTGAGATGTTGTGAAAGTTTTCTCTGTATATCCAAACGTTTGTTGTACCAGAATATATACAAGAGAATGGAGGAAAAAATAGAATCTTATTTATACACTTGTGTAATTCCTACTAGCTATTGTATAACTAACTATCTGACATAGTAAAAAGAATATTCAATCAATTCCTATCATAAATTATATACACGTATGCAAGATTGTTCCAGAAGGTGCAAGGAATTAGCTTGACACCTGTGACACAGCCTTGCTAAATGGAGAGCCAGGATTTAATCAATCAGAAAATGAATGGACGGTGGTGATCTAAGTCTCATAATTAACCTTTTGAACATTGTAATCTCCGAACTCTCTCATTAGTTGTGTTCGAAGTCATATCTGCTTTCTTCTTCGTTTCATCTTCTTCATTCAAAACTAGAATCTTCTGTAAATCACCACCATCTTCTATAGAATTTGAATTCTTGAGTCCAACATAGGAAGACCGAAGATCCCCAATCCTATATTCCACAAAATCCATAATTCAATTTACTAGGTGAAGCTCTACTAGCACTTCTAATGGGTGTTCTGGTGCTAAATAATTCAACTTTTCAGCCAATTACAGTCGAGGAAGTATAAAAATCAGCTCATGCACAAAACATGAACCTAATTATCAAAACATATAGAAGTACTGACATATAACCATCCCTAAATAATATTAATAATTAAAAAATAATAGAGAAAACAAGGGTTACAAACCAAAAGTGGTGAAGTAACGCGCTTGTCCACATCAAGAATGACTCCTCCCTTAGTCTTTAATTCGTTATATACCAAAATACCGAAACCTCAATACCGAATAACCAATAAATTGATATCAAATTATATCGAATAAACCAATACCGAAATACTAAATTAATTCGGTCCGGTTCGAAATTCGATTTTTCGAATTTTATGCCCACCCCTAATGGCAACTACTAGTAATAAAGTGTTTGCAGCAGTATCAGTAAAATTAAACTTCAAGCTCATCATTCATGATCTAGTTCAAGAGGGAACTCTAGAGGTTGTAACATCCTATTTTCCGTGGTCTTATTTTTCACACACAAAAAATTACAATAGGACCATTTAAGCCTCTATCTTAGAGATCCAAGTGGCTCATGTATTTGCCGAGGTAGACTCATCTTTTCCATACGATAATAAGAAAGCTCAGCCGCAAATAACCCAACACCAGAAATGGGTAAAAAAGAACAGCGTCATCAATTTCAGCTACATAGTGCAACAACGTCTTCCTCTCCATGCTTCTGACTTGAATGAGGTTTGGATCGAACTTTATGAGCTATTTCACGGTGTCCCTATGGCCATTACATAGTGCTACATCCAGAGGGCTATATTGCCAATCACACATATTCAGCTTCCTCCCAAACGAAGGCCTTAAGCTCAACATTTCAGTGGCAAAGTAAGTGCAGCCATCATATGCAGTTGTATTCAATGGGGTTTCTACCAATTCTTTCTTATCTCATCAATGTTTTTAAGAATTAATGGTTCTTTATCGGCAACGTAACTCTGTAGAAAGTATCAATTTCCCCTGCTCGAGCTATCTCTTCTTCTATTTCTTAACGATGAACAATCTACAACAATAACAACCACACCTCAATCCCAAACAAGTTGGTCAGTGGTATGAATTTTACTTTTGAATAGTAAACTTCATATCAAGTGGTGCCTGCATGAATCGACCGAGACTCTGAACAATATAACAGATGTCCGGCTTAGTAATTGTGAGATACAAAAGCTTGCCAATGAGATTGTGATAACTGGTTATGTCCACTAAGGGATCTGCAGTAGGGGAATAGCCTGCCACCTTATCAAACTCGACTAAGGTCAGTGTTTGATTGATTTCTAGAGGGGTGACTGCTGGTTTAGCTCCACTGAGCCCTATTTCTGATATCAACTCTAGAGTGTATTTCTTTTCATTGAGTAGAATCCCATGTTTATATCTCAATACCTCAATACCAAGGAAGTATTTCAACTCACCTAAATCCTTGACTTTAAACTGCTGATGCAAGGAATGTTTGGCTTCACAGATTAACTCTATGCTGCTCCCAGTTATCAAAAAATCATCAACATAAATCAGTATCACAACAATGTGCTGACCAACTTTCTTAGTGAACAAGGAATAGTCAAATCTACTCTGCTTGAAGCCTGTATTAGCAAGGCTTGAGTAAGCTTCAAGTTCCACTGTTTGGAGGCTTGAGCCAACACAAAAATTTCAACAGTCTGCAAACTTTTTCTCTGCTCCCCATGTGGCAAATCCATGTATACCTCTTCTGAGAGATCTCCTTGTAAGAAGGCATTAAAGACATCCATCTGGTGCAATTCCCAGTCCTTAGAGGCTGTAATTGCAACAGATGACCTAACTGCCACCATTTTGGTAACGGGTGAAAATGTTTCATTGTAATTCAATCCTTCTTATTGGTTGTATGCCTTAGCTACTAATTGGCTTTATATTTGATCTTGTACACCCATTTGGAACCTATAGAGTTATTCCCAGGAGGCAAGTCCACCACTTCCCATGTTTTGTTTTCTTCCAAAGCCAGGATTTTCCGCTTCACTGATAAGCGTGGATTTTGACCACTTATTAGTACCTTTTTACTTTTGTTTTAGTATGAAAATATTGATTTATGTTCCCAAAATTAATGAAAGTGTGAAAATTACAGGAATGTTGGAGATTTGGGCTAAAATGAAGAAACCCAACTCAAAAAGGAGTGTTCCAGCTCACAAGACAAGAAGGGGCGCAACAGACCAAAAGTGCGGCCCACAGAAGTATTTCTGCAGCCGCAGAAGCAAGTGCGGACCGTAGAATTCTCCTTGCAACCATAGAAATATTGCCGAAGCTCAGAGATGGAATGAAGAGAAGTGCATACCGCACACAATTTGTGCGGCCGCAGAACACGGTCCGCACTGACAAGAATTCAAAAAAGTTCAGCGAGTGTGCAAAATGACCAAGATTGAAGCCTTGCCTGAAGTGCGGACCGCACATGAATTGTGCGGCCACAAAAGCTGAATTGAAACTGCGGACCAAATTGTGCGGCTGCAGAATCCATTCCCCTGCAAACTCAAGCAATTTGCGGACCGCACATGGAATTGTGCGACCGCAGAACCTCCTGAGGGTTATTTTTATCAGCGAATTTTGAGCCACTATAAATAGACGAGAATCACATTTTTAGGTCAAGTTTTAAAGTTTTCTCAGTTGTAGCCGTTGTAGTTTACTATTTTAGGAAATTTGTGATCATTTTGGGACAAAAACATCATAGTTTATCATTTTAATTTTATATTATGGGTTTAATTAACATTTCTTCTTTGTTTTGTTCATTTTTCACTATGAGTAGCTAGATATTTACTAGGGTTATGACCCAACCCTAGTGTGTAAATTTTATGGGTATTTAATTTAATGCTTGTTTATGATTGGGTGTTTGTTATTTAGCCTTATTCATGCTTTAATTTTAGAATTAATGATTGCAAACATTGATTCAAGCCTTTTTGACTTGGTATTTACTTGAGAAAGAGGGACCTAGTCTAGAAAAATTTGGCTAACAAGAAATTGGGCTAGTTAAGGATTTGACTGGCCTAGTTAAAGGGTTTTGAGCTAGAGATATGAAAAACACAACTTTAGCTCATATCAACTATTTAGCTTGATACCCATTTGGACTTGAGAAAGCCAAATTAGATAAAATCACTCTATGTCCGAGAGGTATTGAGTGGGTAGTTTAGAGTTGAGAGCTATAATACACCCTGATCAATAAAATAAGTGTTAACGTACTTAACCCATTAGGCGAACACCTAGGCGAAGGTTACATCCCTAGGCTTTTTACCTATATGAAAACAACCAAAAATAAATAATCAATTTCTAGTTTCATTTCTCTTATTGAGCATTGATAGTGTAGTTTATAGAATTAAATCGCAAACCAATTTGATTGGAAGTGTATTTAAGTTGTTTCGTCTTCACGCATCAAGTATACATTCTAACACCCAATGTTAGCTCCCTAAGGAAATTGACCCTGACTAATAGTTGGGTACTATTCTTCCAACGACCTCTTCCACTCATTGTTGAGTGTGGATTGAGAGTGGATCATTCATGGACATTATCCACTTAGGAGTTTTTACTGCTTCTCTGAAGTTGCGTGGCTCCCTTAAGGTGAAAAAGCTAAGACATAGTCCTTGTACTTCTGTGACACCTGGTCGTATGACAGTTAGTGAGAGATAGGGTAGACACAAT